ACCGCGCCACATTTTATTTTAAGAAGTAGATATTCTTATAATAGTAAAATATCGTATAAAATAGCATCTATTTTATTTTATAATGTTAATAATTACTAACAATTTATAACAATGCTATAAAAAATATGTTTTATGAGAAAAAATAAACAATTTTATATTTAATACATTATATTGATATGCATACCAGAATAAATTACTATATAAATGTATTTTTTCTAATTACTCGTCAATTATATTTAAAAAATACTTGAATATATACCAAAATATACTAAAATAAATAATATAATGTGGCTTGATGTAGCTCAGTGTCTACTTTCAGCTACGTAAGAGTGTATGTACCGGCCGGCGTTATTAGTTCCCGGACGGGTGACCATCCGGAATTTTTAGAAACGAAATTCTTGCCACACTTTACGTGTTCCAAACCAACAATTCCCTACTAAAAGCAGTTAATGGCCATGGTTGCYAGGCTTATGATCATTAAAAATWAAATTAAAGTAAGATAAAAATATAAAATTAAGCTAAACGTGTTTTAACTGTTATAAAATTGTAACTAAAATTTTAGAGAATACAACCTATAAAACTAACATTTATATAATTATATCACACAAAACATAGGTGCTCATTATCTTTTATGAATATATTTTTTCATTCATATTTTCTTTAAATAATTACGAGTGTTTATTTTGGATGATATATATTATTTGAAACCACACTCAATTAGATAAAAATAATATAATATAAATCACAATAAGATTATTATGTATAACACTACGTGAATTCTGAAAGTAAGTTAGATATAGCCTAAATTATTTATTTTTGGGCTACTGGGACACTGGGACAAGTATTGCAATCTTTTGAACATTTGAATTACCTGTTAAAATTCAACTGGGAATAGTTTAAMTTTGTTCTTATGGTAATCTAAAATCAGTTACGTATGAATCATTTCAAACTCTAACACTTATGTTTTGTGAGAAAAAAAGGCACTTGAATATTAAAAACTAAAAAACAATTAAATAATATATTAACATCTTAAACGTAAATATGGCCCTATATTGCCTATACCATACGCCGTATAACATTTTAATACGATTCATAAACCCATGGTTAGTGCAGAATAAAACATATTTCATACAATAATTTTACTGTTCCWAGTCCTTATAGATGTATTATGAAGTGTTTAAAGAACACTTTTAACATTTAAAATAAAGCTCTAAGAAGATTAATAAATGTTCTCTCATACATAATATCAAATCATATTCTCCACACAGACTTGAAATTAAAAACAATCCACGAAGAAGCCAAACGTTTTTATAAAAGATTCCACAACCGTCAACCGTCTTTCCTACTACTAAAATCCTTTAATTAAAAACCTTTCCTCTCTCTTAATCCCAGGCAGTCTTTCTAGACGCTTAAAACTCAAATGGTGCAGAGACCTTTTACAGTTTTAACTTTAAAAAAAAAACTTGTCTAAATAAACAAATTAATTTTATAACTTTAAAAATCAACAGTAAAGTTTCATGATTTGGTAGCTTCTTTATTCAATTTTTGTATATTCATCTTATATGTCATATCATATAATATATTGATATATGTAGATTATATATTTTGACTTAAAATATAATTAAAAAAAAAAAATTTTTAATATAAATATTATATATTTCATTAAAATATGAAAACCTTATTCATAATTATTTTTTTTTAATAATCCACAGTTAATCTATACGAACCTACTAATTATTGATATATTGATATATATTTTATGGGGTGTTTAGACGAAATTATCTTAGATCAGTGGAAATCAAATATTATAATATTATAATATTTATACACGTATAAATCATTGTAAATTAATGAAAATTATAAGAAGTTCTAAATATTTACTAAGCAGAGATTATTTTCATCTGTAACTATTAAGTTAAAAAAACACGTGAATATAACGAAGGTACCTATTGTTTAAAAAGTATAACAGTTGAAATATCGTCAAATTTATATTGTTTATAATATCGTATTCAATTAAAACGCGCAAAAGACTTTTTTGATTCGAAAGTGAAAAGTATAATGGTAAAAAAAATATATATATAAATAAAAATGAGCAAAAAAATAAATCGAAACAAAACCAACTGCAAGCACAAAGCTATATTTCTGGTAGTGGCTGAGGTGGTGGCGTTAGTAGAATCCAGTTTCGTAAGTAATCGGATAAAAAGTCCGTCGCGGTTTTATACATATTATGTATATAATATAAATAAAAATCGAATTATACGCGCCACTGAAGGGGTTCTTGAGTGACAAGTTTGTGAGAGAAAGAAAAGTAAACGTTTGCCCGGTGGTTTTGGATAGTGGTGCATYGAGGAAGTGGAAAAAGGAAAAAAAAAGTCGCCAAAGTCGATTTATCAGTTTGATACCGCCACCGTTGCTACGCTGGAGGGTTTATCATTATACACTCACAATGAAACTTTTACTCCAACCCTAGACGCACACACACACATACAACCCACCCTTCTCTATCGTGATTTGGTCTTTTCTAAAACAGTGTTGGGGGGGGGACGATTATTATGCGGAGAGAGCGACAAAAGATTTAATGAATCATGAAGTTGGAAAAAAAGATATATAAACGGTTTCAATGGACCGTACGCACTTACTCTATTCCACCAGCGTTAAAGAGTAATAGCGCCATAGCGGACTACAAAGTTGACTATTCCTTTCTTCCTCATCATCGTATTATATCATATTCCACTACATATTATATGAATATACGAAGTCAAGATCCATCGTCCAGATGAATAATGGTTCTTGAAAAATCACGTTCTCCAAACACAAGGGWCAGTGTCCAATATCCAAACTAGTTATTCAGAGTAAAGCAATAAACATTTCAATTGTACCTAATATACAATTATGCTTATCTTAGTTTTTTTTTAGTTTTTAATATCTTTTTCCGTGAATACATTATAGGACACTTGGAACATTTAGTTTTTCTAGACCCTTTAGGGATTGGAAATCGAGTCTGCAGGCCATGTAATTTTTCAATTTGTTCAATAGTTTCTATGAAATAAGAAAATAAATACAACAACCATTGACGAATTTTATAGAAATGTTGAGGAGCAAAGTTTTTTCTATAAATTCATTCGTAATCATTGTTTGGATATGACGATTGCTTTTAAATTAAATATCACAACGTGCATCCTACATGGTAACCATCCTACGGTCAAGTCACGGACAAATATCATTAGTTCACCTTTGCTTTATTTTTATTATTTTTAATTTAACGTTACTTTTTAMGTTTWAAAAAAAATAATGAATCGCGTTTGTTTCAGTTCCTCCGKACATATTGGACTATCCAACGAGTACGGACATGAACGTCCGCGAAGGTAGCAACGTTTCGCTGAGATGCGCGGCTTCGGGATCACCTGCGCCCAATATCACTTGGCGTAAAGAAGGATCCGAGCTCATACGTCTGGAACACAGCCAACAAGGTCAGTAACAATAATCTATGTATAAAAACCTATATAATATGTAGCCTGCTGTTAAATAATAATAATACGTAATATTGTATTTATGCGTATATGATAATGATGGTTCAATATAATACGAGTACACCGTATACGTATGCAATCCGTATGTATGATGTACGAGTATATTACACCTAAAACCTATATTACCTATAAATACTTACTTATAATTAATGATGTTTAAAATCGGCGTTGTTAGCTCTAACGAACATCGAATTTATAGATTATTGTTTCTTATTATATGGTAAACGCATATGGTTATAATATAAAATATAAGAGTATCTAACCAATCATTGAAATATTTACCGGATGCCAAAACGCTCTTAACCAGTAACTAGTTTACTAAATATTTATTAATATTGTGTGTCATGGGTGTAATATATTCTATGGGTTCATATAATAAAATACACCATGTTCTACGTAAAATACTTTGTGTCATTTTTGAAAAACGTGATTAATATTTTACGCAATTCATATTTTTCTGTACCTATTTTCACGGGCACACAATCATTTTTATTCAAATAGATAACAATATGATGTCATTCGATAAATCAAAATTTATTAATATTTCATATTTACTTATTGYTATAATAATGAAATTGTTACCAAAAGCATATTAACATAATACATTCGTATTTTCCCATGACTATTATAATTTTACTTTAAAATGCTATTAATATTTCTAAAATTCAAAAACGAACATAACATACATAATTGCATTATGTAATTAGAAAACAAAAGTTTGAATGTGTTTTACGGGTTTCAGTTTGAATATAATATTATTCAAGTTCTCCCTTTGTATGAAAAAATAAGATGTTTTATTCTTCCGACGATTCAAACATAATCAAGTAAAATGTACTTCAAAGAACAAGGTTGAACTAAAGAAAACGATTCGTTTAAATCACATCTGGCAATTTTAGTAATGCTTGAATGATATAGTCTGACTTTTATGTTTTTTAGACATTATTAGTTTTCCATCAAGTAATGCTAGTCATAGTATTTTTCAGTACGATTTTTGAAAGTATTGTTAACGAAAATGTGACTGTCAATACAATTTATACATTGTCAATCAATTTCATTAAAAAAAATATATATCGTTTAACGTCCAAATATTCTTTTCATTAATTATTAGCTGAACTTATATATGTATTATAATCCTTAATATAAAAGTATCTTCTTATAGTTATTACTAATGATTATTGTCACAATAAAACTACATTTATTCCCAACTACAACAGTTAGGTACAAATTATAATTTGTAGTTAATAACAATATGCTTCTTTTTGCATTATTCTATGAAGAAAAATAAACAGTAATCAAATGTATGACCAGAAAAATATATAATCTTAATTCATTTTGAGTGTATTATTTTCATATACCTACTAAAAATTAATTAATTTTCATCTTGCAACAAATGGTCTGTGAATTTTTAATGCACGCGTTTCATAACTTTATTGTGTTTTTTTTTTAAATTTAAACTTTCTACAAGTTATAGGAACAATTATTATAGTCTTACGAGATTAGAACAATATYAATAAAATTAACTAAAAATATTATCATGTTTAAAAAAAATCAATTTGGACAAATCAAATTCAAGCATCTGTTAAAAGTACTTAGCAAAATTCATATAGTGAATATAATTTAGTTAAAACTCAACACTAACCTAAACAATAGTTCAATAGTTAGACTACTAACTATCCATCCACATTTAAAATGTCTATTAATCTGATCAACTGAACAACATAATAATTGTTGGCCCGATGACGCGTGAATATCTATTCATTGAACTTAAATAATATTTACCCATGATTATAATTCATTACTAATGTAGATTGTTTCGTATAATAAATTACTATGCTCGATGATGTAAGTATACGTGGCATTAATAACTAGTTAGTCTATAGTTTGTGGTCCTATTATCGTAGAACACAGAGTAACCTTTTCTATACTTGACTTCACACAAAGTATTAAAATGGGTACTCATCAATTTATAGCTGCGGTGGTCTAATCTTTAAGGGTACTTTAAGCATAACTAATTGCTATTTATACTTAAAAGTGTATCTATTAATTTTGTAYTTATGAATGAATTGACCTGCAATCATATCATAATAATTGTTTGTTTTTTAATGATTTATTTGTCAATATACATTGTAAATTAAGATAACAGTAGAAACTATTTTAAGAATATTTATTCCAAATTAAAAAGATACATGGTATAAATTATGTTTATAATTTTAATTCCAAATCAGTTATTTTTATGTAATGAATTTTATAAATTATTTGGATTTAAAAAAAAAAAATATATTTCCATMATTTTTAAATTTGTAAATTTAATTAATTGATCAACAGCGTTTATATTATAACATGATATGCAGCAACATTTATTTATTTTTTTGAGATATTAAATTATAAAAACCAAGATACTATCAAGTACATATCATTTATTAGATATTCTATATTACCTAATTGGTTTTGAMAATTGTAGCTAAATATATTTTCTACTGGTTGTTAATTAAAATCCATATAGATATGTTAAGAATGCATAAAAATAATTTTTCATCATCTATTAAAGGATAATCAATTAAAATTTATAATGTATTTTAATAGCATATTTTGTACTAAAGAAATCTAGACAGCATATTTTTATGATATGAATCGTAATATAATTGTCTATAAAAAYATTCGATCAATAATTTTACAATTATAATATTTACGTTAAATATTAAATTTAGAAATTAATATAACAGTTATTTTTTTAAGCTAAAATATTACAGTTTATTTATCAMAATATATATTTATGTAGTTAGAGAAAATAAATTTAAAAACAATTATTTAAATCATCGAATTAAAACTGTGCAAAATTATACACAGTTTAAAGTTGTAAATGTATTTTTTGAACAATAAAATAATTATTAATTCATTATTTATGTAAATACCAACATTATATAATAACGTTAATGATACAATTAATCCATCTTTACTTAGTTTGATAGTTCTATGACATAAATATTTGAAGAGCCTTCAGAATTTGTCAAATATTTTACTTCATCAGCAACAATAATGATAGTTTGCACGAACAGTCATATTTCTCAACACTAAATCAACTGTCTAATGCACRATGCACTAGAATATAGTGAAAAGTAATTAAAATCAAATAGATACGCATATAAACACAAGGAAGCGTGACTAGTACACAAAACTTGTATATCAAATTAACGGCTAAACAAGTTATGTTTACATTGCACCATGACTTTGCTGAGTGTCTGATTCTTATCTGTAAATTTTTATTAGTTGTTTGTTTTTGTAATATACGAATATATACTTATTGTATCCAACTTCATGCATCTCATAATATACATAAAAGTTTAAGTTTTACTTACAAGTACAAACTCTGAAATCACGTCACTGATAAGTGATAGTATTTTTTAAAATTGATATTTCTCAGTTAAAATACTAAAATAGTGAAAAATAACAACAGCCAACAATGGTTGTTAACTATTAAAATAATGTTATATTTAAAAGTTTTCTTGAGTACTAAAAACGTTCACCTAAATTGTAATGCTTAAAAAACAGTTTAATAGTAGGTTTTTGGATAAATGATTATCACTGGACCAACTTTCATTGTAAGAACGATGAATGTTAAATAATTGCATTTCGTGTATGTACTAAACTAATAACCACACTGAGGTAGAGAATACGAGTACACCATTTAAGATTAAAGTGATAAAGGTTAAATTTATTCAGTTTGTTTAAAATTTGGCAATGATATATCATAACGTAAAGTCGTGTAGATTAAGATATGTGAGAAATATAATAAGTATCTAAAGAATCATTATCACATTCAGTAAAATATACCAAACGGTAGCAATAAATATATTATATGTATATTAAATATAAATAAATAATATTTTAAATGTATACAATTTTACTTTATTTTCTTTTTATCATCTAGTATAGGTATTAATATTATATATCTGACACTTTTATGAATATTTAGTGTAATATTATTATTATATTTTCCTTGTTATTCATGACTTTTAAATATCTATTATGATCCCAATGACAACAAAATGTTAACAGGTATTACTTGTTTTATTAGTAATGGTTGACACATAGTTTCCTTTATTAAAAATAAATTGATCACGTGGTTGCAAATGACGCACATTGATATTAATCAAAAACACAATTTAATTTAACATTTGTGATCATTTAAAAGGTTTCAAAGTAAAAGTTCACAGAAATCGAACACAATAAGGTATTCAGTAGAATTACACAYTTATACTGTAGCATAGTAGTTAAATTATAATTATACCTAATATATTTTTGATAATCAATAGCTCAACCAGTGACAGCATATTTTAAATACCTAAAYCTAATTTTTGATGAACTGCTTTTTAAGCTTAAATAAGGCAATTACTTAAAAACAATATTATTGTTGTACACATCAATAGAAATAATTATAAATTTATAAATTATATCCATGCACATTATGTAGCGTGTTATAATTTTTAAAAGGGACACAACAATTCTAACCAAAATTATTATATTCATCTCTTACATGACATTTTGAATTACATTTAAAAACTGGAAAGCTGTCTAGTGAAAATTGAATTCCTCCTTCCTTATTTTCTTCTCATATTCTGTGTTATARTAATAAAAACTATGCGATATTTTTTGTTACACCATATTGTTACACTGCAGAAAACATATATTATAGAATACGAGTATATTCAAGTTAAATCAAAAAAATAAAATGTTAAAAAGAAGAAGTTTGTTTAGGATTCACTAAATAACGACGGTGCAGTTATATATAATCTGTTCAAATTTAATAGGTATAAACTAGGTATATTTATATATACCATCGGTAAATGTTTTATCGGATATAGATTTCGTAATTGTTTTTAAAATAAATTGCAATGATCATATACGTACGATTTACACGAATACCCGATTCGATCAAACTC